CGAGTCAGCATAAACATAGTGTACTTTAAAAAAAAAGAAAGGTCAGACAGGGTTTTGTTGTGTAGCACAGGTTGGCCTCAAATTTATGATCCTCCTGCTTCAGCTCCATGAGTGCTGGGATTATAGGCCTAAGTCACCAGGCCTGGCTTCATCTTAGCTCCTAGGTTCTTACTTGGAAGAGTATTTCTCATGCCAAGCACACATCCCTCAGGCACCAAGTTGTCTGCATAGGCGTCCTCAAGAACACCGTTCTCTTTTGCAGCTCTACCACTTGCAGACCAACAAATGCCTGGTAGCCCAGGGCCGCTCCAGCCAGAAAGGAGGCCTGGTGCTGCTTAAGGCCTGTGACTATGGAGACCCGACTCAGGTGGGTGACGCAGAAGGAAAGCACATGTGGGCAGATGCAGACCATCAGACTTCTCTTAAGTGACTCTAGAGATCATTTAAAATAACTGCTCTGTCTTCTCTGTTTCTCTGCCTCTCATCATTGCTTGTCAATTGTTTAGACCTTTGTGCTTTTTACTGTGGTAGGGGCGTGCTGTTCTTCAAACTTTAAGTCCTCAGTAGAGGAGCGTCAGATTTTTCTGACCAATTTTTACAGCTCATTAGAGGACATCTCAACAGAATTTTGGTTTACTCCATCTACTTAATTCCAGTTAGTTTGTCTTTTCAATATTAAATATTAAAATGTAAGCAAATAGCATTTCAGTTTGTTACTGTAAGTTCAGGCTTGTTATTTGACGGCACAACCTAAAGTGATTTAAATTCCCAGTTGTCAGGACTGCCCGTGTTGACGGTCGCTCATTTCATTGGTGCACTGCTATCACACAGGGATGGGAGAAACACCTGGGTCTTTTGATAAATGGGATGTATACTTGGACATTTCTAGAACATACTGCCTTAAAAAAACAAAGCATCAATTTATTATGTGAGTGCACACATGGTGGTAAGAGGACAAGTTGCAGCAGTCAGTGCTCTTCTCTGATCACGTGGGGACAGGAATGGAACTTAGGTCATCGGGCTTGGCAGCAGGCGCCTTTTCTCCACTTGCCCAAGGTAAATGGTTTGAAATGATGTAGCCATGCAGGATTACGCTGATATATAGCTACTTCTAATCAAAGCCTAATAAACAGTGCACTTCCTCAGTCATACTGGCTTCAAGCGGCCAGTACAGGATTCAACCAGGGCTTGCTTTCTAGTCCCTGGTGGAGTTCCTTTTGTGATGGCACCTGTGGGAATTTTCTCACTGCATCTGTATTCATCCTGTTTGAGGCCTGGGCCAGAAACCAAGATTATGTGCATCCACACCCAAAGGGAACCCCGCTTCAGGTTGGCTGGCCCAGGTCTCACAGCAGACATTGTGAGCTGGAATTGGGGTGTGATATTTGCAGAAGGGCTGGACTGGAACAGCTTATGCACATCATCCAGCAGATGAGGACTGTGGTAATAATCTGCTTTACAGGTCTCTGAATTAAGGAAACTGGAAATGATTTACAGTGACACAATCACTTTTATTCAGTTAAATCAACAGTCCCCAGTGACTGAGACATCTTTTGGCCTCCCTCATCTCCCAGTTCATTGTTTCGAATAGTTGAGGGAGTGCTCTGACCATTGTACCTGCTGGGAAGACCACGAAGAGCACATTGTGAAGTATTATCCAGGCCCTCATTCAGTACCTAAAGCAACAAGTGTCGTTTTTTTTTTAAAATCTCTTTTGTTTGTTTTTATCACTAGATCTGGATTTATAATGAAGAGCATGAGTTGATTTTGAACAACCTCCTTTGCCTCGATATGTCAGAAACTCGCTCTTCAGACCCACCTCGACTCATGAAGTGCCATGGGTCAGGAGGATCTCAGCAGTGGACCTTTGGGGTGAGGCTCTTGCTTATAAACATGGGCTTTAACTAGTCCTAATGGTTCGACATCTTTTCTGCATGCTGCAGGAATGTTTTTAAATAAAAAGTCCTTTTTTCTTTTTTCCAGAAAAACAATAGGCTATACCAAGTGTCTGTTGGACAGTGCCTAAAAGTGGTAGACCCGACGGATCAGAAGGGCTCTGTTGGCATGGCCATCTGTGATGGCTCCTCCTCCCAACAGTGGCGCCTACAAGGTTAAGGTGGGCCCTGGATGGAGACAACATAATTTGCCAGGTTTTGTCATACCTGCTATAAATCAAGGTGCTTTATGAAGGATGCTGCAGACCCCAGCAGACAAGAACCTTGGTAGAAGGTTACCATCACAGGAACAGAAGGTGCTTCACTGGGACTTGGGTTATTTCTGAGCTGCTGCTAAGGGATTCTTGTTTATCCAGGGAAAACAAAATAAATATCAGGATTTGGGTCTATTAGTACAAACCCAGGAAGCAGACATTTGTATTTATTTACGTTTCTCTCATTCTCCTTTGGAGAGGGAACGGTTTCTGTCTAATCAGGAACTTGTTACAATTTCCTTTCATAGAGGACTTCATAGGAGATTTTTTTTTTAACTATCATTTGTTTAATATTTCTAATAGATTTTAAAACTGGTTGAATGCATATTACTTTTAGCTTCAGAAGGTATCATGTATATTTAAGAGGCATTTAACTACTATAAATTATTTTAATGTCTACATTAAATAAAGGATCTTTTTGATCATTTAACTATGATTTATGTCTCTTCCATTATATGGAAGTTTCTGTTCTGTCTGGTCCTGCAGATGTTCAGCCCCAAAGAAACACAGAGGCTTATATTAATTAATAAACCATTTGGCCTATTAGCTCAGGCTTATTACTAACTAGCTCTTATAATATAAATTAACTCATTCTAATCTATGTTTAGCCACATGGCTTGGTACCTTTTCTCATTAAGCCATTCTCATCTTGCTTCCTCTGCATCTGGCTGGTGACTCTCTTGCCTTTCCTCTTTTTTTTTTTAAAATATTTATTTATTTATTATGTATACAATATTCTGTCTGTGTATGTGCCTGAAGGCCAGAAGAGGGCACCAGATCTCTTTACATATGGTTGCTGGGAATTGAACTCAGGACCTTTGGAAGAGCAGGCAATGCCCTTAACCACTGAGCCATCTCTCCAGCCCCCTTGCCTTTCCTCTTTCATAAATTCTCTTAAGTCTGTTGCTCTGCTTATACTTCCTGCCTGGCTACTGGCCAATCAGTGCTTTATTAAACCAATGAGCAATAAGTCTTTACAGTGCACAAGAGCATTACCCCACAGCATTCCATCTTCTGACTTGCTGTGGGGCCGGCCTGTGGTCTGGATGACCTAGGAATATGATGGGAAATGCTTTATACATGGGCTGACAGCTCACTAAGCTAGACGGACGACAGTTGCTAATTTCAGTAGCAGTTCCTTAGCTTGACTTGAGTGAATTTGGATACAGCAGTCTGTCTGTGACACTCTTTTCTAAAACTGGTAAGAATCTCAGCTGGAGAAAAATTTCATAAAAGTCTGTAAATATGCATGAAAATACAAGGTGATTCCCCCTGTCTCAAATTTCTATTTCTTAGGTAGGTACAATCTGATATAGCAGAAGCTCAGTGATGTTATCTCAAAGCACAAAACTATTTAAACCCCATTTACATCTGTGATCTGTATCCCAAGTATTTAACCTGTCATAGATTTCAAAGAAAAGGAAGCCAAGGGCAAAGAAAAGGAAGCCAGCAATAGCAATGGCCATGTTAAATATTGTTACTGAATGTAAAGTTTCCTTTAGAAGGCTAGACTGGATAAGAATGCAGGACCAACCTATAAGACACTCACTGTAAAAATGAATGGGCAGGGGCTGGAGAGATGGCTCAGCGGTTAAGAGCACTGCCTGCTCTTCTAAAGGTCCTGAGTTCAATTCCCAGCAACCACATGGTGGCTCACAACCATCTGTAATGAGGCCTGGTGCCCTCTTCTGGCCTTCTGCATACACACAGATAGACTATTGTATACATAATAAATAAATAAATATTNAATGAGGCCTGGTGCCCTCTTCTGGCCTTCTGCATACACACAGATAGACTATTGTATACATAATAAATAAATAAATATTTTAAAAAAATGAATGGGCAGCAGACACTGTAGTAAATGGACATCATCCATATGGGAGCTGACGAGGGTTCTTGCCCAGTAACAGAAAGGCTCAATTCATCTACAGAAAGAACCCCAAAATACATGCTGCCAAAAACCGAGAACTTCAACAAGCATAGCTGTCTACAGTTACTGTGAGATATTTCAGCATGCCTTTCAAAACCCAAAACAGGGTGCTGACATCTTAACAATACACAGTATCACTAGGCTGATCTGGTTTGGGAACTCTCCACTCAAAACCACAGCATGTACATATGTCCAAGGTGTCAAGTAAAAATGACCTATAAAGAACAGGAGAATTCTGGGAAGAGGATCAGTCTACAATTGTCATCCAACACAGGAAGCAGATAAGCTAACAGAAGTTATGAGTTAATAAGAAGCCTGAGCTAATAGGCCAGTCAGTTTATAATTAATGTAAAAAATGAACTATAAAACATTCCAATACTTTTACACTGATATTAAAACATTGTTTTAAAATGTCTAATGATGAAAACAGAATGTGTATGGTATGTTACCAGATTACTTGGAAATTTTATAAGCAGTAGTCATTCACCTGTAATAGATATTAATTTTTTAGTGATCCTAACTTAGACAGAGATAGCAAATTTGAAGCTCAAGGAAGAATATGAAATGTCAGAAATGAAATAGGAGCCAAAAGGAAAAAAAGTTGGTGGCATCGGGAAGAATGGCAACCAGCCCACAGATATGAGTGAAGGGAAGCTCATTTGTGGGGGGGCATAGCAGTCTACAAAACCAAACCATCCCCTGCTGTTCAGCCAAGGAACTCAAACTGCCCAAGAAGGTTACACTCAGACCAACTGGAAATGACAAAAACAGTTGGCTAGGATATGATAAAAACTATGGAGAGATGTCCAGAGAACAAAGCCAGCAAGAGAGCTAGATGGAACACTGGCCTGTCACCAAGCCTCTCAGAAGAACAGTTACAGTATCTGTCTACCAAAGGGCTCAAAGAATGTAGAAAACAACTAAAACAACTGCTCCAAGGATCCCAATCTGAAGTGACAGGGCCCTGAGGTTCCTCTGATAGCCTTCTGACTCTTGATCTCAGTTCAGGATTCTCTGATGTGACATACTTGAGTGCCTTCATAGAGTGCCTTGACAACTGAGTTTATGAGATGAAGTTGTACATCTCAGCATAATTTTCTGTATAGAATTCTGCCCCCCCGCCCCCCAGTTATTTGTTGAAGATACAGCTTTAATCTACATCAAACTAAGTATTCAGGCCAGGCAGCATGGCTGTGCAGGTCTTTAATTACAGCACTGAGGAGACGGATCTCTGTGATCCAGGGTTATATGAGACCTCACCACCACACACACACAGTACTCAATACAATATATTACCAACACAGAATGGGCTTGTTCTGTTCAGGGATTTTGCCCAGATGGAGCCTTTTGTGGTACCCTGATGTGTGGCGTCTCAATGAGGCCAAACTTCCTTTAAAAGGCTCTGTGTATTTAAATGCACTTCCAGCTTAGGAGGGACATGGCTCATTATAAAGAGCTTCCACACATTAGAGAATTCCACACATAAGCTACAAAGAAAGGAGCATAGGCCAGGCAGTGGTGGTGCACGCCTTTAATCCCAGCACTTGGAGGGCAGAGGCAGGTGGATCTCAGTGAGTTTGAGGCCAGCTTGGTCTACAGAGCAAGTTCTAGGACAAAAAAAAAAAAGTACATAAATAAAAAAATTACAAAAGGGGGGGTTATGCTGTGCATATGAGTGGCAGTTTGAGAATGAGGTTGGAGCATTTGCAACTGAAGCTGTGGGGCACAGAACAGACTAAGGCCAATGTGACAAGGCTGCCAAGAAGCTGCATCTCAAACTGAGTGCTGGGAAATTTCCAGAGTTTGCAGCTGACCTTTTTAGGTGATAAGAAATTTTGAAGAATAATTCTGGAGGATGTGTACTAATTCAAAATTATTGTGCTAATGACTTAAGGGCAAAGAGGCAACTATAACAAAAAACAGGCCAGTGTGGCTAAATGACCAGTTCAGTTCAATGCCTCAAGGAAACCGAACGTTTACAGGGAGCTCCCCCTTCCACACACCGAGAATACACACAGGCCCCCGCACTAACCTAGCTTTAATGTGAGTCCTGGCCTTGAACACTGGGCCTCCTGTCTGCAAGTCAAGCACTTTATCTTCTGAGTCATCTCCCTAACTCCAAATATGCACATTTTACTGGAAGAACTGGTTGTACCTGAACAAAATTAGACCTTAATTCTCTCCATCCTTGATTGAACACATTTATTTCAGGTCAGATAGGGATCTGAACATAAAATAAAGGCAAAAATGCAGAGTATCTTCATGACTTCAGAATAGGTAAAGATTTGCCAAAGAAATAGCCTTAAGATGTTAACACGATGGGACTTAATCAGAGTCAAGCACATGTTCAAAGACGGAATGAGAAGATGAAAAAGCTCGAGACGTTCAATACCCAGTTTTTACAATGCACAAAAGAACTTATTGAATATTTAGATGGGAGTGGTGTGTACACAAAGTTCATAATATGAAAAGGTGCTCAATGTCACAGTCACTGATGAAATGCAATTCAACCACATCAGATATCATTTTACATGCATTAACACAAAACAGATCACCCCCTACCGGGGGGTGTATTTGTGAAAATGTGAGATGTGGAGATTGACAAAGGCTGTAGTGTATGTAATGTGACAAGAAACATTGCCCTTATGGCTGGAATGTAAGACAGACTGAGATCTCCCAATGGCACATCTTAAATTTTCCAACTTAACTCCAGGCTAGGTGAGGGTCTCCTACACATGGAGTATAAACCACAGCAGCAGCTCTTTTCACAGACTAGGTCGTGGTAACTGAAGGAAAGTATTCCTGAGAGAAACCCTCATTTCATCCACAATTCATTCCATAGCCTAGCAGCAGATTGGTAGGGTGGCTTTGAAGAAAACAAGTCTTGGCATGAGGCTTCTACGGGGCCAGTGAGTGAGCACATTACCAGCCTCCTGTTCAGCAAAAGCAGTGTTTGGTACACAGTCACCCAATACTGCGGAGACTTGAGAGGTCAGAAAGGAGAAAGGAGGACATGGGGGGGGGGGGGTGGATGGTGTGGAGGAACTGAATGCCTTGGGAATTTGTAAGTAAAGCTGGGCATATATCCCAAGAGGAATTTTAAGATTGCAGTAGGTCCATCGAGGAAAATGAAGCAAGGTACTTAACTTTATTTTCATGGCTAGATTGAAATTGAGTTGGAAGAATTTTCTTGAAAGCCATATTCAGAACTTAAGCTCTGTTCTTCGGAACAGAGAAACTTCAAAACCTAAACCAAGAGCACTGCACAAGAAGATGCTGACACGTGTGCAGCCACCCTGGGGAGACTTCTGCATATCACATACAAGCTCAACAATCAAGACTGGGCAGCAGACAGGGCTGACAGTAGACCAGCTGCTGAGAATCAGGTCCATTCAGGAAATCTTAAGGCACTTTTAGCAGTGACAGGTGATACTTCTTCAGCATGGTGCTAGGCTCCCCCATTGATGGCAGGCTTGGGTGTCTGGAGCACACAGAAGCAA